AAAGATAAATAACGTCTCACGTCCACATTTCATTAAATTCAATGCACGTTTATATTCAGTCCAGAAAAATGAAGAATCCGTTTTAATTGATGAATATATCTCAACATCTGTTCATCTACACTTTGGTGACTTTGAAGTTGCCCCCCCTCCCACCTTCTTCAAATCTAATGAAACTGGTGTCAAACGTTTGTGCTACGCATCTGCTGGTTTCTGCAGCAAAACTTTTTGTTTGTGCCGCTATCATTTCAAAGATGGTAATAAATGTTTCCAGAGTTCATGAAAGGTCAACCAGCCCCCCCTTCCCCCCACTTTCTTCAAATCAGACAAAATTGGTGTCAATCAACTCAGCTACATTTGTGCTGGTTTGTGCAGCAAATATTTCCATTTGTGCTGCTTTTGTTTTGAAGATATTGATGAAAGTTTAAAGGTCAAAAGGTCAACCAGCACTCCTACATTACTGAAATCTAATAAAATTGGGGTCAAACATTTGTTCTACGTTTGAGCAGGTTTGTGCAGTAAAATTTTTTGTTTGTGCCGCTATCATTTCAAAGAAACTAATAAAAAAGTTTCCAGAGGTCATCAAAGTTCAGTGAAAATCTGTTCATGTTGGAAATGTGAATTTCATTTGGTAAGATGAGTTAGGGTTAGGGTCAGGAGTAGGAAGAGGGGGCTGGTTGACCCATTTACCTTTAAATTTTCAGTAATATGTTCAAAGCAAAAGCAGCACAAATGGAAATTTTATCAGCACAAACCAGCACAAACCAGCACAAATGTAGTAGAGTTTATTGACACCATTTTTTTTTTTTTTTGATTTTGTAAATGTGGAGGGCTGGTTGACCTCTGATGATCCCTGGAAACTTTTTAAATTAATATCTTGCAGGGCCTGCAGAGTTTATTCACTCCGTTCCTGATGCAATGCCCCAGCTACGTCTGCATGTGGCTTGAACCTTGCGCATGTTTGGAAGCACATACAGGATCTGTGTGAGAAGCTGTTCACATGATGAAGATTAACAAAATGGCATACATGAGTCATCTCACTGATGAACACCTGCAGTCCATCCTGAGAGTCTCTGCAACACAGAACTCACACCAAACTTAAACTTGTTGCCAAAAAAAAAGCCACTCATCTAGCTCTGACAAAATGGCATAAGCACAAATAAAACGTTGGTTACATACTGTAACCCCAGATTCTATGAGTATAGGCGTAGCCCTTTAACACTAGAACTCCCAGACCTTTGCCATTTGGCAGTTATACCTTTAAATACCAAGGAACTGCCATTTGGCAGGTTTGAACTTGACTTTAGAAAGAATTCGAATTGAAATTCATTCAAATTCAGCCCGCTGGCCTGCATTGTTTTGTAAATGAGGCCATTACATTTGCAAGAAGTAACTCTAAAGATACTCTACTCAGCAACAAGTTGGTCTCCAAAGGAACTTCAATGTAACTCCTGTAATTATTATGGTTTGAAGAACCCCCCCCCAAAAAAAATAAAAAAAAATAAAAATCAACGTTACCAGAAATTTAGATTCAAAATTCAAAGCTTTATTGTTATACGCACATTAAAGACACATGTTACCCTGTTTCCCTGTACAATGAAATTCTTACTTTGCTTCCCACACCGGATGTCCAAAATATTTTATATAAATCTAAGTACAAGCAAGTAATAAAAGATAAAATAAAATAAGCATGCAACAATATGATAACAAATTTATTCGTAAATAGAAATGTAAACTATGCAGAAATATGAACTATGCCAATAAGCCTATGTACATACAGTCATTGTGCAGCAGTGCACTACATTGCTTATTGTCAGACTGGTATGAAAACCCAAGAGACTCATCACACTTATAGATTGTCTAAACACACCTGGCAGTGCCACAACATCTCCTTTCTGCATTTGCCACATGTGAACCTGTTACAGGCAACACAACGCTTAGTGGCATGGTTATTCTTGCAGCAACACTTAACCTGGCACAATGCCCTTTTCCCTGTGTCAGGTGTGGATGGTTGCTGCTGAGGGCTTTCCTTACACACCTGCTTGGCTGCCATATGAGACTGTGCAAGCTCTCTTGCAAGCTTCACCAGGAAATCCGTCCGTCTCTCTTTGACCCCAGTGCATGCCTGAAAAAGCACATATGCATTCAGTGCTGCAATGTCAATCATGTTCTAAAACACAGAGACTGGCCAACGCCTTGTTCCTGAACGTACAGTGTACTTTCGCACCAGCTGGTCCATGACATCCACAACACATTTTAGGCTGTTGTAGTCGGTGACTGTGTTAGGCTTTTTTTTTTCGGGTGTCCACAGTCTCCACCACACTGTGCATGCTACTGAGGATGCAGACAGTCTTTTTCCATTTGGGCGCATAAACGGTCAGTGTGGCACCAGAGGTTGAAAACACCTGTGTACTGAATTCCTCACGGTCCAAAGTTTTTTTGGCAGAGTCTGGAAGCTCACGGCAAATCTTGTTTACTGTCCCAAGGAGGGTGGTCTTCTGGCTGAGCAGTCATTTTGCTAGTGACAATGAGGTGAAAAAATTGTCTGTGGTAACGGTTCTTCCTTTGTCCATAAATGGTTCCATAAGCTTCATCACCACATTTTCTGATAGTTTATCCCCCGTGGGACGACTGGGGTCTTTGCCAAGATATGGGATGATATTGCATACATACTTTGATTTCAGCTCGGGAGCCACCAGGAGAGCTGTCAATCCCTCCTCCCTAACTCAGTTCAGAAACCGTGATATCAGAGGGAGTGGGGAAATGCATAAAGAAGCATTTTGGGCCACGGGCTGTGAGCAAACGCGTCCACCCCTAGCGGTGGTTTGTCCCGCGGGCTCAGTGAGAACCATATTTGACACTAAGCGTTCTCTCGTGTGGCAAAACAAGTCCACGGCCACTTTGCCAAATTTCTGCCACGTCTGAGCCATCAGCTTGGGATAGAGGCTCCAGTCCCCTGACGCGGACCGCCCCTAGACATCACATCCGCCCTTCTGTTCAGAACACCGGGGATGTACACTGCTCTGATGGAGAGCAGATTTTGGTGTGCAATACTCCAATACATTTATATGAGCTGCTGTGTGGGGTGGCCACAGCGCCCCCACAGCTCGAGACATGCATGTGCCTCCCCAGCCTGACAGTGACGCATCTGTGAAGACTGACACGTGTGACGTAGGTCTGCTGACGGGGACTCTCTCCAACAGAACAAGAGGGTTCCCCAGTGTCTCTGGTCAATTCTCACAGAGGGGGGCGCAGCGATCAACTGTCTCTTCTGCCTCACCGGGTCCACCCATGTAGAATGAACATATGCTGATATATATTCATAAATTAACGGATTCTTTCATTTTTCTGGACTGGATAATATCGTGCATTGAATAATTAAAAATGTAACGTGAGACGTTAATTATCTTTGACCCATCAAAATGAACGTGGTCATTTATTTTCAGAATCAAAATTTTAACATCATACATTTACATTAATTGGCAAATTGAAAAATAACAACATGGCTAATTTAGCAAGTTTTACAAGGAGTAAACAATACGGCGATTGTTTTCACACTTCCAGCAGTACAACAGACATTAACCATACGGCGATGGTTGAAAAACTTTGCTTCAGACATTTCTAAAAATATCTGGAATGATTTCTTAGCAGATAGAAGAGTTTAAAGATTGAAGTTTAGAGGGAGGGAGATGGTGTGTGTGTGAGTGAAAAGTGTTGAACAGAACGGCACCCTCCATTCGACCCAGCTTTCCTCGGTACGCTCGGTAGTGAACTCGACTCATTACCTCTCTCATGATGAATCAGTGGAAGCGGAGCTCCAGTTAAGCTACCGGTCCAGTGTCTCCGTAGGATGGCAGAGAACCGTCCGGAGTGGTGGCGGGACTTCATCAACAACAGTTCACCTCACGGTGGACTCACATGAGTGGAGTCCTTCAGAAGTTCCACTCAGAGGTGGAAGATGTCATAATCCCAAAAGACTCGGTAGAGTTCTGGGTCATGCCTGGACTTCTGTTCTCCCAAACGACTGGAGCTGCAAACTCTCCACCCGACTCCAACTGGGTTGAACTAGGAAGTACCGACATTTAAAGAGCTCTATTTCCGGTTCACTTGGGAGTTTCTGATTGGTCGATGGACCAAAACAGAGGTGTGTTTTGTGATGTAAGGTGTTATGAAAAGTCAAGGAAAAAGATTAAGATTGTTTAAGAACAGACAGAAGATATTATGAAGAACTCAGACTTCGTGGAGTCAATTCTCTAGTATCTTGCTGTAAAAGTTAAACATGACATTTCTTTTTCAGTAAACTTGCAGTTGACCGAAACTTGAACTTTGACCAACTTACACAACTTGCTCATTTCAAACAGACGATCAAGAAATTGAATCATTACTCTGTAACATATTCCAACTTGATTTCCACTTTGAATGAGGATTAAAAATCGTTATTACTGTTTCACAGTTGATTTAAAAATGAGTAGTTCACTTCAACATTTAAACATTGTTTGAACTAACACAATTTGATTATCAAACATTTGTAAAATAGTAATGATAATCGAAAGTAGTGTTCTTTCACTTGATTAATTCAAGAAAGAAAGTCTCAGGATGGGTCAACCTGCATTTCTGGATTCAAATCAATGAAATGACAGTTTCTGTCTGTATTATGAAATTCTTTATCAAAAAGGGCTCGTGAAACGGTCGGCACAGATATTCAGACAAGATGGGAAAAATAAAAGACAGAAGCTGTCACTGCTAGGATAAATAAGTGTCATTTATTAACCTGCCACAGAAAACAGCCAAGCAAAAAACATGTACACTCTTAACACACAGATTGATATGAAATAACTTCTCACCGTGACACTGGCCGGGAAGTCGTTTTCGACCCAGGTAAAGAAGAATCACATCAAAATTGGTGCATGGCATCAGCGCGCGGCTGATCCATCACAGGACTTCCAAAGATTAAGTTGTTTGATACATTTCTTATATACCTTCTTCCCTGACCGGATCGCGTGAGAGCAGATCAAAGCAAGTTTTGATGGTTGCCAGGAGGACAGATTTAATTAAATCTGTTTTTCCTTCATCAAAGCAGTCTGTGCAACAGAGCGATGGTTTCATAAAAAACATGTCCTTCAAAACCTGGATCACTGTAACCTGAAGATTGGGCCCGATCTTCTGGCTAGAGCATCCCCAGAGAACTTTAATTACTCCAAAACACATCTGCAGCACAGGAATGACTGAATAAGCAGATAAGCTGCATCAAAAGTGAGTATAAATGTGTTTAGATAAGTGTAGATTGACATAAAAGCATTAAAATAATAATTTCTATATCATTCCACCCTTGCTTTTATGGCAATTTTAGACATTTAATTCTGAATAAGTAACACACACAAAATGTATATGTTTGAATAGGCATAAAGGCAACTTCACACCTTATAAAACATATTTTCATATCATTCCACCCTTTTGCCTTTTATGGCATGTAAAACATAATTCCACAATACAACTTTTTAGTTTTGAAAATGCCATCCCTTTAAGTTGAACTCTAAACGATCTCCGACCTCTGAATGGTCGAGTTCTCCTGAAATTGTTCTGGGATTTTATCCTAAATAAACTCACTCACACAGTTACTAGTTTCAAACCCCTGGAACGTTTTGATTTATTACATTCCCACTGACACGATCATTGTAAATCAAAACACCTGGTAGGTGTTCAGATTATAGTTTTTTTTTTTTTTTTTT